TGGTAAGCCCATAGGAAGTGAGTTAGTATATATTTTAACATGCAAAGGATTTGTTAAGCAAATGTAGCGGCTTCAGGGCAATGCTTGATTTAGAGAAGGAGTTTTTAAGGAAAAAAAGGAGTAATTGGCTATTGCTCTGTGTGAAGTAATGTTCCATTCCAGTAGGCGGTTCCCTAGGCTTCATCATTACCAATGCTCCCCTGAATTCACTAACACTGCCACTCATTTCTTACTCCATCCACTCTGAATCTGTCTGCTGTGGTATCCTGACACCCGAGTTATGGTTGGTAGCGCACTGTCTCCGAAGTGCTCTACTCTGATATTCCGTCTTCTTATCAGATTTGAAGGAGTTGACCAGGGCACCTCTGCAGATGGAGGGAATTTGCTTTACAAGTGCATGGTGGGTGAGGATATAAAATGATGTAGCTATAGTGGAAAATACTCACATGGTTTCTCAACAAACGAAAGCTGAAATGACCACACGATACAGCCTCCAATTCTGGCCATAAAGAAGCAACTTGGATACTGGTACACTCCAAGTTCATAATGGTATTACCACCATGGTCAAAGGATAGAAATGACCCAGGAATCTATCAGCAAATAAATGGTACATTGACTGCTTTCAGTTAGTTTGACCCAATCTAGAGCCATCTGGGAAGGGATTCTCAATGCGAGATTGCCCACATCAGATTGGCCTATGGCCATATCTACGAGGGGCAGGGGTTGTCTTGATTTTGTTGATAGTGTGGGAAGATCCAGGCAAGTGTGGGCATCACTGTCCCCTAGCTACCAGATCCTGAACCCTGCAAGCAGACAGAGTGAGCTGAACACTGATAGGCTGCATTTCTCTTCCTTTTGATTGCAGATGCGATGTGTCTCGCTCCTTCAAGTTCCTGCCTTGACTTCCTTGAAATGATGGATTTCCACCTGCAAATATGGTAAGCTAAAATAAAACCCTTCTTTCTTAAGATGCTGGCTTTTATCACAGCAACGGGGATGAAGGTAGGATGTATGGGTAAGCAAAAAGAGGCCAATCCTTACAGTGGAGTATTGTCTTTAAGAAGAATGGAGATTCTAGCAGATGCCGCATTGGGGATACAGCAGGGACACCGTGTGGTTCTAACACATGTGAGAAAGCCTGGAGACCAAATGAACGGTGACGCCAGGGGTGGAGGGGCCAGTGTGGGGACTCTTTACTTACACTCTTATTTTTTTTAGAGTCAACAATTTACCCTCATAAGAAGCATTTGTTAATACTGTCCACCACAGAGTTTGCAGTTGAGAACACTTCCAGAGGGATCATCTTATGCAACTCCTCTTTGAGGCAGCATCAAGGGGCCGTATGATAATGAATTGATTAAGATTCATTAAGAAACAAGTGAATCACCAAGGTGGACATGACGGTGGAGGGGGACTTTGAAACAGTGTGAGACACACTCCCCTTTCTTGGAGGATCAGCATACGGTAAACATTTTACGAGGGCAGCTGGGTCTTTCAGATGTGGAGACAAACCAAGCCGGGCTACAAAGAGCCCGAGTCTAGCTGCAGTCTGTCCTACGTAAAGATACAGCTAAATGTCTTTCCTGTGCAAGCAGCTTTCTATTCGTCCTTTGCTAACCCATGTTATTCCTAGCGAGAGAGTTGGGGAGACGCTACTAGGCTTTAGGGCTAGAAAGGCACTGCTTGGGTAACAGCACCCACATGGTCTCAGTGCTCAAAGCCCAGTGTCAGCACTAACCAGGAACGCAGAATAGAAATGGGGCAGAGCAATAGTCATCAGACCTGAAGGAGACAGCTGGGGTCACCTGTCCTGCTGGTGTCTCTTCAAGCCCTCCTTTTCCCCACTTTATCATAGCTTGGCAGATGAATAAACAGAGGCTTGTGTACAGTTGGTGATAACTCAGGAGCAGATGTAAACACTGGGAGATGAATATGTTTATGCCTTTCTGAAATATCAAGAAAGCTTATTGAATTCTTAGAAAGGGCATCGACTTCTTGAAAGATTCTGATCATTCTTACCAGATGTACAATGATGTTTGTACTGTTTTGATTTGGGATTGTAGTAATTATACAGAATCTTGGGTTTCTTTGTAACATTTCAATCTAGCTTGATCCTAGCCAACCCCGATTGTCTTCTCTTGCTCCCTTCCTTATCTCTTTCCTCTTCCTTTAAAAACTGTTTATTTACTTATTATGTTTTTAGATTAGTGGTTTTATGTGTATGAGTGTTTGCTTGGATGCATGTGTATCACACGAGTGCCTGGAGGTCAGAAAAAGGTACCATATTTCCAAGGACTGTAGTTACAGATGTTTGTGAGCCACCCTGTGGGCTCTGCGAACTAAACTCAGGTCCTCTGCAAGAGCAAAAGTGCTCTTAACCACTGAGGTTATTGCTTGGGAAAAACCATTGCAGGAAGAAGTGTAGAGAGAAGATTTTTCCTTGCTTTGGTTTTTCATCACCAGTCGCCTGGGCTCTGCCGCATTGTAGTCCCCAAACAACACACAAGACACTGTATTAATTATGAAGCTGTTGGCCTTGCTTGCTTCTTACTTAATTGTTAATCTAAGTATTTCTCTTACCGGAGAAGTTTTCAGGCTTCTAATCCCTATGGCGATTACATCTTGACCTCCTGTGTTTCTCCTACCCAGAGTCCTCCTGGACTCCTAGTCCCTCCTATTTTGCTTCCCTATTGGCCAACAGTGCTTTATTGACATATACACAGGACTTCCCCCATCAAAGCAGGACTAAAGGAAAGACAGAAGGAGGTAAGCAAGAAGAGTCAGTAGAAACACATACCATTGAAGTTACTATTCTGGAAAACCTGGTCTTGATCCTATACAGGATCTCAGAAGATACATGGGAGGAGTTAAAGAGAGGAAAGAGAAGGGGGTAATGATATAATTCTATTACTGTCTCAAAAAATATAAGATATAAAATATCAACAGAATAAATAATGCCAGCAGGTGGGAAAGGATTCTGCGAGTTGCGTTCCTGAGAATGTATCTATTCATGTGAAGACCAGCAACCAGCAGCTCTGTCTGATTGGCTGAGTTTGTGTCTGAGGCATCCTTTTTCTGGTATGTTGGGATCAATGTGCATACTCATCAGTTTACTGATGTTGCCTAATGGCACAGAGTGCCGACACACTCTTGGGCAACTGTCCAGTGTCTTCATGACAGCACCCCGCACAGCTTTCACTGTAGAGTGGTAAAAATACGACCCCTCATTTCACCTTTTATCAGCGACTAGCCAGGTAAACCTGAGAGAGAAAAAGGCTTCCTTCCACAGACCCAGAATTGTTCAAGCTTATATTCTACATCTGCTCTAGACAATCCTGTCGATGACGAAACTGAAAATTTGTAACTCTAAAGACTTGGGTCAGATGCCTACAACAGTGAAAGGACTGCAGATTAGAGACACATGACTACCCAACACACACCACCAGGAGAACTGTGCTATAGGAGAAATAATTTCAAGCGGGAATCACAGGCAGATGGACATGTGTGTAGCAACCACAGGTGGATGGACATGCATGTAGAAACCACAGGTGGATGTGCATGCATGTGGCAACCACAGGTGGATGGATGTGTGTAGTAACCACAGGTGTATGTACATGTGTGTATCAACCACAGATGGATGTACATGTGTGTATCAACCACAGGCGTATGTGCATGTGTGTATCAACCACAGGCATATGTACATGTGTGTATCAACCACAGGTGGATGTACATGCATGTGACATGACAGAAACAAGGTTCATCGCCAGAGAGTTTGAAGTAATTGAAGACAGATGGCTGAACGTGCACAGGATAAGAGGCATGACAAATACCATGAGTCATCCACATTGGCACCCAGGCACCTCTGTGACTCACTGGACAGCATTGATCACTAAATAACAGGCCCGTCTCTAAAGCAGGGGCTGAGACCAGGGGATTGGAGTGCACAGCTCCTTGAGGGAGATGCCACCCTGGGGGCAGAGGAGCAATAAAAAAGAAAGATGATATCAAGAGGGAGTGAATGGGGGTACATGGAGGGAGGAAAATGAAAGGGGAAATGATACAACTACATTTTAATTAAACAAAGAAAGAAGGAAGATTGAGCCAGCCATGGGGAACAAGCCAGCAAGCAACACTCCTCTGTGGCCTCCGCTTCACTTCCTGTCTCTAGGTTCCTGCCCTACTCTAGGTTCCTGCCCTGACTTCCCTGAAGGATGGACTGTAATCAGGACATTCAACCCCCCCCATCCTTCAGTTGGTTTTGCTTAGTGTTTCATCAAAACAAACTAGGATAATCTTATTGTTTCTGAATCTTCAGTTGTGACCAGAAAGCCCTTACCTATTCCCAGACTAGAAAAGAACACATATCTTTCCCCGTCAGACTTGTATAACTTCACTTTTAATAGAATTTAGATTTTTGACCATTTGAAGTCTGTGTTCATGCGTGCGGTGTGTATCTAATTTTAACTTTCTCAAAGTGGCTATCCAGTTGTCTCAACCCGACGTGTTGAAAGCAAAGGTTTGCTACTGAGAGTGTTTCTTAAACACACTTACAGAGAGTTAGTATGGCCAGATAGAATGCCTGGCCCAAGTTCTGGGTTAGAGTGTACTTCCCAGGCTTATTCATCCAAGTTGGGATGACACTGACCTCTGTTTGGCCACCTAAACCCCAGGTGGCCATTCCAGGCTGTATCGTGATGACAGGGTCTGCATCAGGGCAGGGCCACGCGGTCAGCTCAGCATCTGGATTCTGCATCAGGGCAGGGCCACGCGGTCAGCTCAGCATCTGGATTCTGCCCCCTGGCCTGTGGATGGATTCCATGGTAGCTGTCCAATTCCTTGCCTGTGGTTACTTCCACATGTTGAAACATCACCAGCCGCTCTTATCCTCAAATTACTATGATGCGCTTTCCGCTGGCCTCTAGAAATGCAAGGCATCCTTCTAAACACCAGTTTCAAAGTTTGTTTTGCATTATTCTCATTCTAAACCCAGATGACCCCGGTGCTGCAGCAAAGGGGTGAAGGCACAAAGAAAAATGCTCACATGCCTCTTGGTGTTCTTTTTGCTGCCTGGACTGGTGCTAGGTTGAAGAAATCAGAGTATCACATCGCTTCTTACAATAAGCACAATTTGAATGCCTGCTGTATGCTATTGAATGCCTACTGGATGCTATTGAATGCCTACTGGATGCTAGCGAACGCCTACTGTATGCTAGTGAATGCCTAGTGGACGCTAGTTCTTCAGAAGCCTTGTATAAGGTACGGTTCTAGTCTTTGAGGTGGAGTACAAGATCTAAGAAGTGTGTGTGTGTGTGTGTGTGTGTGTGTGTGTAACTAGATGATAGGTCTTAGAGAGAAATGTGAACTATTGTAGAAAGCACAGGAGAAGAGAAATCTGTGGCTTGAGGTTTTCCAAGATGGTGATGAAGGTTGGCGCAAGGCTTTCTGGATACTCTTCACAAAAACCGCAGGCATGGGTGTGTCCTTCACCTCTTCCAGATAGATCTTCGGTGCACCACCACCAGCACATAGGTGTCCATACTAAACCCATTTTGCCTCTGAGGAAACTGAGGTCTAGGGAAATAAATGTGCCAGGGGCTGGTATGTGAACCCAGAGCTTCTGACTGCTGTGTCCTCTCTCTGCCACAGTCCTCCCTGACTGGGTGTTTTGCTTACTTTTCCTAGAATTTGAAGGAAGATGCGGACATACCTGGCTTGCATTCTTTGGGTGTGTGATTTAATTTCTGTGAGGCTGTGGAATGCTGGCCTCCAGTCACAGCTTGGGCGGTGCCCTCTAGAGCTGGCACCACCCAAAGGAGATCTGCACAAGACTGATGCTGCTGTGGTTTTATTTTGTTGTTGTTGTTGTTCTGACAGGTCTCACCACCCTTCTCAGTCCCAAACAAACACATAGATGCTATATTAATTATAAAGCTGTTGGCCGATGGTTTGGGCTTCTTATTGACTAGCTCTGTCTTAATTATGAACCCATTTCTATTAATCTGTCTATTTCAACGTGGTCTTGGCTTACCAGAGAATGCCCGGACCTGCTACTTCTTTGCAGGCTACGTGACAACTTTTCCTGGGGCTTCTCTGCCTACCTTGTCCAGAATTCTCCTCGTCTCCTAGCCCCACCTATCTTCCTGCCTCTACTGGCCAATCAGTGTTTTATCCATCAACCAATAAGAGAAACATATATCACGAAGGGCATCCCCCATCAGACTGAACTCATTAACTTTCCATCATGGAGGGGTCCCCGGGCTCCCAAGGCCCCTCCCCACGCAGGGATTTGTAGATCATTAAGAGTTGCTAGAGTAGGGCTGGAGAGATGGCTCAGCTGATAAAGGCTGGGCTCACAACCAAAAATATAAGAGTTGCTAGAGTCTCCAAGAGATTCTTCTCTTCAACAGGGTACGCTGTCCACTCTCCTGCAAGTGTCCACACATCCGCTCTCTGGTAAGTAATCCTAATGAACTCATTGTTTCACCAAGCTAGACTTGAGTGGGATTGTTACTGTTGTTGTTTGCAAGTCATTCATGCTCTACCTGGTGTGTAAGCAGATGCTTACTGGTCTCCCCAAGATCATACAACACCTGCCCACTTCTGAGTAGATGTAAACCAGTCCAAATTTCCCTCCCATTCCTTCCTCCACACATGCCTGGTCTGCACATTTTTTCCATTTCCCTTTCAAAAGGGCCATCAATACTAGTAATAAAATCATCTTCGGATGGCTGAACACATGTGACAGGATGGGAAATGACAAATACCACCCCATCAAAGATGATTATTGTAATTTTCTCCCACTAGGATAGGCTCACAAAGACCAGACAACAATAGCCAATAATAGCAGTACACTTTGGTAGGTTGCTATGAGCCTTTGGCTCTGGTAGGGACTTTAGATAGAAAAAAATGTCACTGAGGCCTGCGACAAATCAACAAGGAGGGATCCCCACCTTTGTTTATACACGAAACTCGCTGGGTGAAGTCACATCAGTGGGACTGGAGTTCAGCACGACAACGGAAGCCGTTCTTTAGAAATCTAGGTTAGATGAGAAATAGGGAAACAAGCCTTTTCCCCTACTCCATGCCCTCTATCCACCAGAAGCCCCACTTGCTGGTTGCTGGCTTCTCCTGACTGCATGTTTTACACACCCAGCCCTGCTTGGCTCCTCTGCTCCCAGCAGGGCGAGAGAATGGCCTTCAGTTCCATGTGATGAAATTTCGGTCCCTCCCAGGCCTGGTGAGAAGCTCCGCTGATAGCCCTTTGCACTGCAGCGTGTGTCCCAGAGTGTCCCACGTTGAAGCATGGGCGTTCTAGCTCTGAGCGCCAAGATGACGGGGTAATGGGGGGGGAAGGTTGTGTTGTCTCTTTCTTGTTGAGCCGGCAAAGCTGCTGCTGCTGCTTGGTGCTGCGCTGTGGCTGTCGTCGGTCACATGTCATCGTCTCGTGGGACACATGACTATCTCCCCCCCCCCCACCTTTTAAAAATCTTTTCTTGGAAAATGTAGGCTGCCTGGTTCTCAGGACGCACAAGCTGCTTCCAAAGTGGTTTGCCAGGGCTTGCCATCTGCTGAGGAAGGGGAAGTGGTGAGGGACACTTGGTGTGTCAGGAAGACCTTTATGGACGCAGGAAAGAGAAGTTGAGGTGGCCCCAGCCAGCGTGTGGGGTCCTGGGATCATTGGCAAGTAGGCTGAGTAAGATCATCTCTTACAGTTTTTCCTAGGCCAGAGTCCCCAGGTGCTCCCCCCCGGTTTTCTAAGTTCTCTTTCACATATATCTCTGTGAGGGCTTTCTAGGGGGTGCGTCTCCTAGTGGAACCATGATCCTCACCCGAGGAGCTGTGAAGAGATCGGTGAGAAGAACTTTTCCTCCATCTCACAACTTAGCACATCTTTATTTTCTGGCGCATGGCCCAGGCTTGATCACTAAGTGTTCTGTTGGGTTAGGGGTTTAGAAGAAAGGCCAGTTTCAAAGTCATAGCCCAAGCATGAAAGGAACCTGGAGCCCTGACCACCTCACCCAGAAAAGAATACCAAAGGCTGAGGTCAAGAAGCAAGATGAGTCCTGCCCCCTTTCAGTACCAACTAGCTAGAAAAAAGTTCCTATGCGAGCGCCCCTAGTAGAGGATCCCTTGAGTTCAGCCGCCAGCCACTGGCCTGCCTTCTTTACCTATCTTCTGTGCCGTTACCTATCCAGTCCAAGTATCTAACATATATTGGAGAAAGGAAGGTTGACTTTTGTTCATATCAGCTCAGGCTTTAGCTTTCTTTACTTTAAAACTTTTTTTTTTTTTGCCCAGGTGACATGTATCTTATGTAGAAGTTTGGTGTGTGTGTGTGTGTGTGTGTGTGTGTGTGCGTGTGTGTGTGTGCGTGTGTGTGATTGCTGTGTAATTGTAGTGAATCACCGCAAGCCTAGCACCGAGCATTGAACTCAGTGCTGCCCATCACATTACCCTCTCAGTCAGGAATCTGGGAGCCACCAGCTGGGATCCTGCTGTCCACAAGGCTGCCAGCTCGGGCTGTGGCGAGCCCACACCCCTGCTCTATTTACAGACCGTGTTTTCCAGGCATTGCCCTGGATTTTATCTTTGCTTATGAAGTTTTTCTACCCTTTAAGGTAGTTTACAATCCAGGGAGGATGAGAGATTAGAGGCCCATCAGAGCCCAGCTCCACCTGTTTTATGGCCCATTCCCCAGTTTGCCCCTCTCCTCTTATATTTAATGATAGGCAGTGGGAAGAGGCTGGGTGGATCCTTCAATACTCTTCTTGGAAAGATCCTGAAGGAGACAATGCAGCTTGCTAGCTGTACTGTGCACTTTCCACAGACTACAGCCGAGAGTGTTGCCAAGATTTCGGATGAGCTGCAACAAACACCTCCTTTCAGCTTCTGGAGTTGTTTTCTTTACTTTCCTATGTTCTCAAAGTCCCAAGTTCTGTGATCTTAAAGGTGCTATTCATTTACATCTTACATTTACATTTGTGTGTGTGTGTGTGAGTGTGTGTGAGTGTGTGTGTATGTGTGTGTGTGTGCATGTGAAGAGGTCAATGTTGGATATTTTCCACTATCACTCTCCACCTCGTTTTTTTTTTTTTTTTTTTTTTTTGAGACAGGGTTCTCACTAAACCTGGAGCTCACAGCTTGGCTAGACCAAGTGTCCAGTAAGTCCCTGGGATCCTCCTGTTTATCTTGCAGTGCTGGGGTGACAGGCATGTACCAAAAGCCCATTTTCCTTACCTGGGTTCTGGTGATACAAACTCAGGCTCTTATGCTTGTGTAACAAGTGCTTTACTCATTGAGTGTTCTTTCCGCCCCTAAAGGTGACAAACTTTTGTTAACATTGTCCGTTGCCTGGTTCTGAGGTCCATCCTACATTCTGGACATTCTTTTAGGCCGTCAGCCCATGCATACACCCAGATCTGTGTTAGTTGTCTAGTTCTGCTGATCATAAGACGATCGTTTCTTACAGTTTCTAATCCCTGGGGCTGATTGCATGTTCTGGCTCATGAGAATGTGGTCAGGCTGTCAGCCAGGCCTCAGTCTCCTCTCAAGCCTCAACTAGAGGCTGGGAGATCAACTTGCAAGTTCATGTATGCGACAGCAGGCAGGCTGCACCCTCTCATGGGTCATTGGGCTGAGTCCCTTAACTCCTCAAGGGCTACAGGAATGGGGGCCTCAGTTCTTCACTGAGCCATGTAGGCCTCTACACAAGATGGCAACATGATCATTCTAGCCTGAGCAATCAAGTGACATCAAGATGGTTCATAATGTTGTCTTGGATGTGACATCCTATGGCTTAGATTTTGTCAGTTGAAGGTGAGTTATTAAGATGGAGAACTTAGATTTAGTCTGTTAGAAGTGAGTTAATATGGGTGTGGTGGTGCATACTTACAATCCCAGCACTTAGACTGAGACAGGATGATCCTCATTTGGGATATATATATATATATATATATATATATATATATATATATATAACTTCTGGGCTAACCTGGACTACATAATGAAGTTGATAGGGTGGGGAAGGTGGGTGCAGTGATTCTTGTACTATAGAATTTTGGAGGTGAAGGCAGAAGGATCAGGTTTGAGGTTATAGGTGACTGGTCTGAAAAAAACCAAAACTAAATAAACAAACAAGTCATTAGTTCATAGTACACTCAAGGCAAGGGAGTCCCCTAAAGGTCTTAATAACAGAGAGGTAATCACTTGAAGCCAACTTTGAGACTGTCTGCACACTTCAATGAAAACATTTACAGGCACAGGTATTTATTGAGCAACTACTTTGTTCTAGACATTTTTCTAGGTGTTAGGGATGCATTAATGAAGAAAACTGAGAGAGATGACTGGTCTTATGGTACTTCCTGGGGGAAGGGAGGCACGTGAGAGCAGGGTGTGTCAGAGGAATTGCCGGAGGTTCAGAAAAACGGGGATTGGATGTGTATGTTGTAGACATGAGATGCAAAGACCCTTACTCACTAGGTCGTACATTTGGATTAATAACACAAACAAGTGCTAGTGGCCTCACAGACTGCCCAAGCCACACAACTGTCACCCACATTCAGAGGGCCCAGTTTGGCCCCATGTGGGTTCCCCAGCTGTCAGCCTGGAGTCAGTGAGCTCCCACTAGCTCAGGTCAGCTGACTCTGTGGGCATCCCCAAAATGGTCTTGACCTCTTTGCTCATATTATCGATCCTCCCCAAAGAGAAGTTCTTAATGACTACAAGAGGTACATTCATATTATATGATGGGCTCCAAGATTATCGAGAGGACAAGGGTGTGCAGTAGTTCATTGGAGAGATGAAGGGTTCCACCTCCTGCCTAATGAGTCAAATGTGGGACTGTACAGGAGAATATTATTTGGAAGTTGAAAGGAATGACATACTGGCAGATGTTACAACTTGAGTGCAACTGGGAAGCATTGCACTAACAGAAATAAATGAGTCACTAAAGACCGCATACTGCCTGATTCCATTCGTATGAAATGGCCAGAACGGGCAAGTCATCCTTGGAGATGGAAAGTAGATTAGTCGTTTCCTACAGTTGGAGAGGATGGGCGTGGAAGATGACAGCAAGAAGATATTGGGTTTCATTTGGAGGCGATGAGAAAGTGTTCTTAAACTGACAGGCATGGCTGTGCAATTCTATGACTATAATAATAATAAAACCACATCGAATTGTGCACAGTCAATAGGTGGATTGTATGGCATGTGAGTTACGATTCAACAAAGATGTTTCAGAACCAGAAAACAGGCTGGGGGTGTGGCTCACTTAGGGAGTGCTCTCTTAGCATGAACCAAACCCTGAGTTTGACTCTCAGCGCAACATGAACCAGGTGTGGTGGGACCAGCCTATGAGTTCAGTTCAAGGATCCAAAGTTCAAGTTCACTCTCCATAGTATAGGAGTTTGTGGCCCTGCCCCCCCCCTCTCTCTCACACACACACACACACCAAACCCACAACAACAACAACAAAAACCCTCCCAAAACCTTCAAAACGCAAAACACAAAATAGAACCCAAGAAGTTTCTGGCGACTGACTCTAAGTTCAGTTTTTGATCTAGCCTATCCCTTCTCATTGCTAATGTTCAGTTCCATCACATCCTGCTCTGGCCACCATTTCCCCGTTTTCTTTTTGTCTCTTCTCTCCCATTTTCATGGGAGTTTTAAAAATCACATTTCTTATCCTCTGTCTTTTTCCTTTTCCAACCAATTTGGGTTCTCAGTCACCCACGTCCAGGTGTGACTGTGTCGGCTGATGCACTCTAGGCCTACTCTCCCATCCCTTAGCATTGTGCTCACTTTGTTTATATTATACATTCTGGGGTGCCCTAGCTCTCCCAGAGTCTGACTGTAGCCCGGTGTTTCATCTTCACCCCACGTTCCAACTTGGCTGCACCTCTGAGAAAGAACACCTTCACCATGAGCTCTGAGACAAGCACAGGGTCCCAGAAGCTGAATCTGTGAAGGGGTCCACAGGGGAAATGTCACAGGGCTTCCCACATCTCTCCCTTGGGGGCATATCTGTAAAATTTGAGGTACCACTGATGGGGGATGTCCTTCTGTACATAGGTTTCTCTTACTGGTTGATGAATAAAACACTGATTTGCCAGTAGTCAGGCAGGAAGGATGGGTGGGGCTACCAGACCGGGAGAAGGCTGGGGAGAGGAAGGCAGAGAGAGGCTTCCATCAAAGAGATGCCATGTGGATACCGGGAAGATAGGACACGCCAGGCGTTCTCTGGTAAGAGAAGGCCATGTAGAAATACATAGATTAGTAGTTATGGGTAAACAATTAAGAGAGAGCTAGCCAGTAAGAAGCCCTAGCCATCGGCCAACAATTTATAAATTAATATAGCGTCCGTGTGTTTATTTGGGGGCAAAGCGACTGTGGGACCAGGTGGCACAGAATCTCCCCTCTTCATACCACAAACCTAGGGGAAATATGCCTGTGCAGTGCAATGGTTCCTTTATTCCTCTGGTTATTCACCTCCTGTGTAGCTGCTGCTGTGTGTCTCGTTGTGCATTTTCACAGCTATCCTTTGAGGCTGTTATTATTAATACCATTTGCCACGTAGAAGTCTGTGACCCCGGTGGGTGAAATGACATGACCAAAGCACATAACTAGCTCATGGCAGAGCTGGGTGTACGGTGGTGCCGGGCGCCTGTCACTTGACTGCTTTTGCCCCTCCCAAGACTCAAGTTGAAACAACTCCCCGTGCAACAGTATTGGGAGTTGGGACCTAAGGCGAGGTCTTCAGGTCCTGAGGTCTCCACTCTTATGAACCGTTTATGCTGACTGGCAGAGTTCAAACTCTTCTCTCTGGTATTGCTCTTTCCACCAGGGTCTCCCCCAGCCTGGACCGTCCAGCTTTGAGATCTAGAGAAAGAAATCTCTGTTATTCCCACAGTTCTTACTGGCATGTCTCCATTCTGTTTCTTAGGAGGACCACACGTGCTTTCTGTCACATCAGGACCTCCACCTGAACTCCCATCTTTGCTGAGAGAGATCTCTGTCACGTGTCTGCCTGTCCTTCCTGGCCAATCTTCGGTTTTACCTTAGAGTCATTTTCATCCGAGGAGGCTGTGCTAGGTGTGTTTGTGTGTGCTCCCTTTGTCTTACTAATTGTCCTATACTCCTACGTGTCTGTTCGTTTCCCCACTGGGATGCAAACTTTAGCAAAGATGTGAAGCTTTTTGCTTTGGTCATATACTATGCAATGACACCCAACACAGAAGATGCTGCCTGACTATTGGAATCGATGGTGGATCGTTGTAGCTACATGGTGTCATATCATGGATCACGAATGGCATAATCTAACAAAGGATTCAATATTACTAAAGGATTCGTGTTTCTCTGTGTGTGAGCTTTGTGCGCACAGACAGTGGGCAGAGGAAGATGTTGGGTGTCTTGCTCTGTCACTGTTTTCCTTATTCCCTTGAGATAGGGTCTCTCCCTCAATCTGTAGCTAGGCTGATGTCCAGGAAGCCCCTGAAATCCTACCTTCTGTATCTCCACAGTTCTGGGTTATAGGTGTAGGATTTACCACACCAGGTTTTTTATATGAGTTCTAGGATCCAAAGTCAGGTCATCCATCATGTTCCCATACCCTGAGGCCTGTCTCTAGACGCCATGAGCTTTCTTCAATGTGATTCTTTTTTTCTTCCTCATGGCTTGACTTTATTGGGGGTTAATGATGACAATTGTCTTAGTTAGGGTTGTTAGTGTTGCAAAGAGACACTGTGACCACAACAACTCTATAAAGAAAACATTTAATTGGGGTGGCTCGCTTACAGTTTCAGGGGTTCGGGCATTATCATCATGGTGGGGAGCATGGCTGTGTGCAGGCAGATGTGGTGTTGGAGCTGAGAGTCCGACATCTGCAGGCAACAGGTAGTTGACTGTCGCACCTGCTGTGCAGCCTGCATCCGAGAATGTAGCGAAGTGGTCAGGATAGATGACACAGAGACCGGTCGGTTGCTTTAAGAAAACTTTATGCTTCCCAAGTTGGCTTAGGAGGAGCTCTCCAAGAAAAAAACGCTTCCCTTTTTAAGGACTTCTGCCATCCATCTGCATACAATTCTCCAACGGCTCTCCCAGACTTCTCACCCTCCTGGCTGGTGGTTTAATCTCCGGCCCCAGAATCCAGAATCAGGGAGACACCACAGGGGGGACAGGAAGAAGCATCTAGCCATAGGGGGGTGTGAAAGGCCTGGTATTTCAGTGAGCAAGCCCTTATCTGAGCCCTATCAAGAGCTTTATAGCACTGAATTGTTTTCAGTAAACATTATCTCACAGCTGCCTGCTCCCAGGCCAAAGGGGAAGTGGGTCTCTGTTCAAGGTCTGGTGTCCCCACAGTTGACTAGCAGTCACACTGAGGGAAGTTTGAGCAAAAGAGACCTCAAAGCCGGCCTCCCTCCACAGTGACACACTTCCTCCAACAAGGCCACACCTCCTTATAGCGCCACTCCCTCTGGGGGCCATTTGTTTTCAAACCTCCACAACAATGTTGCTTTTTCCTACTAAAAGTGGTAAGAAGAGGACATGAAGGTGGGGAGGACTATGCAGTGAGGGGTGGGTGTCTGGGTGCTGGAGGAGAAACAAGCACGACACATTGCACACATGTATGAAATAGTCAAAGAATAAAAAATATTCTCATTTAAAAATTGCCATCTTTTAGGATGTTGATACTAGACACATCTTTTCGGTGAGAGAGAACAGTCTCCAGTCCTGGCCTCTCTCCTACTGACTTGTGTTGGCTGACTCACTTCTGTGAGCCTCAGACCTTTGACTAGGAAAATGGCAATCCTATTACCTGCCACACAGGTTTACTGGGAGGACTGAATGATAGGTTTCACAAAAGGTTCTCAGCACAGGGGCTGGCAAAATGTGCTAGTTGTTATTAGAATTATCGAAAGAATAATAAAAGCTACCTCGCCTGCCAATTAGATGCATGACAGGTGACAGCTGCATTTATTGTTGTTATTGTTATTATTATTATTATAATAGAGGAATGCTGGGGGTTTATTGTATTCACTCTGAGGCTGATTGGCAGGCAACTATTCTCTGGGCATTCAAGGAAGTGGAGCCTGTTCTGGGAAGTGCACCCTCCTTCTGGTTTTCTGGAGGTGGACCAGGGGTGACCGGTTCTTCCTGAACGAGGCCCAGGGAGAGCATGCTGGCAGAATGTCATGCTCAGGACAGCGCCTTCTGTCTAGTGTCATCTCAGGAAGAGTGTAGCCTGTCACTTGCAGAAGGGTGAAGACACAGCCAGGGTAGCACTGGGAATTGCAAGGTGGTGCTGGCTAAGTGCTTAAGGCAGTTCTGTCCTTGCAGGAGGGTGTTGTGACTTCCTGGCTGGGTCTTGGTAACAACCCCTGGGAGTTGCTCCTCTGATGGCATGCAGGGGACCTTTACGGTCTGATTCATCAACAAGACACTCCCTTCCCCCCATATTCAAATATTGGCCTCTAGGGGAATAGACACTTCTGTGTTCCAGGTAAGAGCCAGGAGGTGGGCTGAGCCCAGAATCTCAGGGATTCGGGTATTTGGAGCAAGGGAACCCATTGGCTATCTGGCTGTTGACCTCTGGATTCTGGCTGTGGTCAGTTTTCACACTCTGGAGAATGTGGAAACAACTGCTCACATTTTAGAGAGTCTGGGAGGCTAGGCCAAGCTGAGCTGGAATTTTGCTATGCCCCTTATATCTGTGTACATTTGTCAAGTTACAGCCTGTCTCTGAGCGGGGGCATCCACACCTCCAAAATAGTGTTCCATTCACGTCAATCTTGGTATGTGTTTGGATATAGTTCTATCATTTTGACATTTGTTTTCATTCTTCCATTTTCCATTTCTTAACATAGATTGAATCATTTGCATGTTTTTCTTTATTTTTTCTCCTCTAGGGCTCAGGGACTTGCACTATATTAGTGAGGTAAGGGATCTACTACTGAGCTACCTAGTTAGTTTGTTTGTTGGTTTTTAACTCTTCTGAACTGAATTATGTCACTCAAACTCATATGCTGGAATGTTAATCTGTACATTGACATTTGGAGATGACACCTTTGGGATGCACTTTAGTTTGGACAAAGTCAATTGTGGGTCCCTCATGATGGGAATAAGGCCCTTGAATGATAAGGCATGGGGGGGGGTGAGAGATATCACTCCTTCTGCTTTAGCCCTAAACACTAAGGGGAAGCCATGTGAAGACATAGGGAGAAGCTAGTCATTCGCAACTCAGTATGAAAATCCTTAAAACCTCATTTGTCCCTTCATCTTGGATGTTCACTCTCCAGAAGCGCAAAATGCTCCCAGTTAGTGGTATTTTGTTTAAGTAGCCTGAGAAGACCAATGACATTTTCTCTGTTTTTCATCCTTAGTACTTATTTCAGAATCACAATATTTACTTTTAACATTTCGTATTCTACTTAGAAACAGCATTGCACCATTTCTGTATGGATCCTGGAGGTATTTATTTACTTATTTATTGTGCTTACCATGCAGCAAAACCTTTATTAACATTTTTAACAGAGGTTGTTCAGCTATTACTGAAACTTGTAATTTCTAAACTGAAATTGGGGCAAATGACTGTAGTGCAGACTAATGCCATCATTGCCCATTGGGAATGCTGACTGAAGGATTAATAGCCACCCCTCAAAATGGAGGACCAGGTGCAGGGTGAACTCTTCCTGGATGCTGTAATCAGAAAGAGTGCAGTCATCTTCCAGTTGCTTGCCAGCAAAGATGAGTTGCTGTTGGAGGGCGGGGATGCCCTCTTTATCCTGGATCTTGACCCTGACATTCTGAATGGTGTCACTGGGTTCCACCTCTAGGGTGATGGTCTTGCCGGTCAGGGTTTTTATTAAAATTTGCCATTTGATGTGTTAACGAATGTGATGAAACCACAAGCCAATGAGCTCATAGAAACACCTAGATGCAAGGAGCTCCAAAGAGGACAAGGCTTTTCTTTAGTCGCTACTGATAGGTCTTTGTATATTTCCCCTTTTACATTGTGTTGCCTAATATATTTCATGTACAATCTCAGCTGCCAAGATTAATAACTATCATATACACTTTTGAAAGTTTAAGAAGAGACAGTCATATAAGGAATTAGTCATTTTCCCTGGCTGTTTTCAGGACAATTTATTTCTTTGTATTGGCTGTTTCTGATACATCTAGTCAAGAAAATAGCATTTTACACAAAAGGAATATTAGAAGGGTTTTATTCATTGTGAATGCAAGTTAGACAAAGCCGCATGAAATCTGCACAGTTTAATTGAATGTATTAGCTGTTTTCTAAGAGCTGTGTATTCCTATGGAGACGAAAGAATGTAGTTCCATCAGCTCTCAGAGTGTGAACCACATTTCTTAGTGTGTCCCTAAGTAAAGCTCAGTGGAGGAATTCAGCAGCTGGAGTGGGGGCTTCAGGCTTATGGTAATGGAAGAATTTGGTAATGGCTTGTGAGAACTAGGCTGTCGTTAACCTCTTTAAGTTCTGGAAGAAGTGATATTAGCATTCATAAGTAGTCTTTGCTGAGAATCTAGGACGCCTGCTTCCACATCTCCCTTAGTACATGAAGCCAACTGCAACAAAAAGCAGCCCATCCAGTTGTCGTGATGAATATGAGGGCTCCAGTTCAAAGGACCAAGTGGCTTCAGACCAGATGACACCATCAGGGGACAGCTTTGATGATTCCAAACCCTGGAGGACACATTACTCTCTTTCTCCAAGTCACTGTTCGGTTCCAATTCCTTCTTATCTTACGTGTGGTCTGCCAGCACAGTGTCGGATGCCATGCCAAGTCAATCATTCCAGCCTGGAGGCCAGCCACGAGGAAGGAATTCTGGATTAAAAACCACTGTTAGCACACACGTAACTGTATTTAAGTATTGTATACATTGGCTCTTGGCTATGATATGTAGATCCATGGGCATAGTTATACCAAAACCTTCACGAAAATCGGGTGAGCCTAACTCTTTAGTGTAGTGGCATCTTGCTTTGCCAGTGAATTTGTGGTGGTGGCCACACCCATAGCCAGTATTCAAATATAATGACTTAAAGGCCTAAGTATTTACCACTCCATGAGCATTTG